CGGCCAGGAAATACAACCACGGCCTCCATCTCTTCTGCAAAGGCAGCACCATTCACCTGGGGCCCGCAGTGTGGTGGCCCCTGGGAGCCCCTCTGCACCCGCGGCGGAGTCTCCCCGCGTCGTTCACATCTTCCTCCTAAGAAGAGAGAATCGATTTGCTGCGTTCGGTTACTTTTTTCTATACAATGTCACCGTTTTCTCTGCCGCACGACAACAGCGTGAACTTCCCACGCCGATGATTGGTGAGCTCTGTGGGCGGAGTCCTACAAGAGGCGGAGTCTACACAAAAGAAGAGGAGGGAGCAGAGAATCCACCCATCACTCTCTATACAGATATGAAGTGTTCTGAGGCCCGGAGTGCCGCCTCACCAATCAGCAACTTGCTGGGACCTTTTTCCGGCAGGTCAATGGAAGCGGATTGAAGGCGGTCCTGCAATACGATGCTGTGACAGCTCCACCCAGCATGTGACTTCATGAATATTACAGCGCAGAAATAAAGGCGCCGGGATCGCAGAGGATCTCACAGCTAATGAAAAGAAATAAAAAATCAGCAAATTGAATTATCGGCGGAACTGAAATCCGTCGCCGGGGGCAACGCGAGAAACGACTTTTATTTGTAAATCTTTATTTATATTTTGTTGTTTTTTGAATTCTCTGCGTCGGCGGAGCGTCGGACATGACGGGGTTAACGGGATGTTTTCTTCCGCAGGATTCTGAGAGTAAAACTCCGACCGACGCTCACTTCCTGTCCCGGTGACACCACAGGAAATGAGATGACATCTGGCACTCACTATTTATTTCACTTTTATTTTCTTATTTTATTTTTGTTCAATGAAAGTGAATCATCAGAAGGAGTCAAATAAAATCTGAGCGCCTCGCATCATAAATCATTGTCATTGTTACTTCTTTCTTCCTCCTTTGTTCCATCTCAGTGCTGCTGATCTCCTGCAGCCTTCTTTGCAGCCACTTCCTGTCTACGTGCACTCCAGTGACGGCTGCCATGGCATTTCTCAGGGCGGGTTTCCTGATGGTGACACCAGTGGACCGGGTCTGTGTAATGTGTGCTGAAATGGCCACTTGTAGTCTCCAATGAAAGCCCATGTGACAGTGTGACAACGCAGGAGCACTACTGGGAGACAAGGACAGAGCGTTGTCAGCCTATAACAGGAAGTGTCTGAACAAGGACAGAGCGTTGTCACCCTATAACAGGAAGTGTCTGAACAAGGACAGAGCATTGTCACCCTATAACAGGAAGTGTCTGAACAAGGACAGAGCATTGTCACCCTATAACAGGAAGTGTCTGAACAAGGACAGAGCATTGTCACCCTATAACAGGAAGTGTCTGAACAAGGACAGAGCATTGTCACCCTATAACAGGAAGTGTCTGAACAAGGACAGAGCATTGTCACCCTATAACAGGAAGTGTCTGAACAAGGACAGAGCATTGTCACCCTATAACAGGAAGTGTCTGAACAAGGACAGAGCATTGTCACCCTATAACAGGAAGTGTCTGAACAAGGACAGAGCATTGTCACCCTA